CTGGTTAGTACTTGGATGACGGATCAGCTGGGAATTCTGGGGCTCTAGGTGTGTCTGGAAAAACTTTAAAAAACAGTAGAAAGCAGCAATGGCAAATAATTTCTGTAATGCTGTCAAGAGAACCGTGCATGGAGTCACCATATGTCAAGCTCAACTTCAGGGCACCTTAACATAGCAAGAGACTAAAATACTTAGAGCTATGAATTTGGTTTCTAGCAGTGAGTTTAATCCTTTCTCCTGCTCTTTCTCCTTTATCAGAGTACATCCACCATTTTTTTCCCCCTAGGGAAAAAAGTAAAGCTTTTTGTTCTTTTATTGCTTTTTATTTAATATTTAATAATATTAAATATTTTATTTTTATTGTATTGTATTATTTATTTATTTTTATTATCAAGGCAGTCTTGACTCCTGGCAATTGGACTAGTCCCTGCAGTTTTCTTGGCAAGTTTTTTCAGAAGTGGTTTGCCCTTGCCTCCTTCCCAGGGCTGAGAGTGAGTGACTGGCCCAAGGTCTCCCAGCTGGCTTTGTGTCTAAGTCGGGACTAGAACTCCCAGTCTCTAGACTGGTGCCTTAACCACTACTCCAAATTGGCTCTCCTTTCTATGCTTACTTAGCTAGAATAAATAAATACATACCCACACACATATACAAACAAATTAGAGGCTGCCTAACTCCACATGATTCTTAGCAGCTTTCACTTTTAAAAGCAAGAAACAGTAAAATAACACAGAACATATGCATCCAGAAGGTAACCACACATAACAGACAAGAAAATCCCACCGGGCCTGGTAGAATAGCCAAGTTTTAAATGACTTCTGAATGTCATCATATGGCTCTTTGGGGAATATTATTCCAGAGGCAGGTGCTATGCCAGATGTTTCTCAGCAAAGCTGTTGCTGTGAACTTGGCCTGCTTTACTCGTGAAGTTTTACTGGGGATCCAGATGATGATGTTTTCCATTTACAGTACTCCCTTGTTTTCTCACTACTGCCATTGATGAGGGCAAGAGAGAATGCTGCATTCGTCTCCGAGCTAGCTAGTTAGCGGCAAGACATCAACATCTCTAAATTATGCTGTGTCTCTCACACAGCTCTATTGTGTTCATTAATCTGAGCATTATCAAAGGTGAACATACCCTTTTCTTCCTTCCTTGTATTTGGGAGCTCTTCCTGAGCTGTTCTAAAACGTGTATGACCCAATGAAGGATTTCCTTCCATGGAGGAGCATTTTCATTTCGTTTTAGGCACAATCTTCTAGCAGAGATGCCTTTTTTCAGTGACAGAAAAAAGTATTTGTATGTTTCAGTAAGCTGGGAGATAGTTGGGTTTGTGGATGATGTTAATCTATCTTAGCTTCCCCTTATGTTTTATAGTAAAAGCTGAAGTCTGAAAAGATAGCTTTCCATATCTACACTAAACCATATCAGACCCTTGGCTCTGTTTTGAAAATAGGCAGTCAAGTTATGAATGGACATTTCTAGACTTACCCAGATATATCATTTTGAACTTGTCCTGCTGGAAGCCAGGGGACATAATTTGATATTCTGGACTTATCCATAGTCCTAAGGTCCCTTCCCCAAATTGCCACCAAACAGTAATTTTTATCATGACAAAAGGCCATGACTGCATACAAAGTGGAGAACAATCATTATTACATGTATCTAATTCAAATACTATTTGAATATTATTTAAAGCTAATATTCCGACAACTTTCTGGAGTTTGCACAAGTGCAGCCTACAGGCCAGAAAAATCTGTGAGCCTTTCTGTAAGCCATTGGATTTTCCCTCTAGCGTGGGTTCCTTATCTGTATGAAATCTTCCCAACCACCAACACAAGTCAGCACTCTCATTGACTTGTTAGGTTACAAACATGTCTTTAAGGCAGTATTTTGAGGAGAGAGAAGGTGACAAATGTATTGTCTAGGTTGGAACATGGAAATGAGAAAGCTACCTCATGACTAGCAAGCCTATTTATCACCTAGTTCCTGCACTTTCAGGAGTTAAAGGGCAAAGCTTCACCTAGTGTAATTTTTCTTTCCCAAACGGGGTAAAAAGGAATTTCAGAATTTGGACAGAAGTTTTAGATGTGAAAAGATGCAGACTGTTTTTTGTTTGTTCGTTCCATGAAATGGAAACACTAAGCTCTGGAAAACATCAAGTTGGGCCAAATACTAGCTTTCTTGCTTTTACATGATTATATTGTTTTGGGGAATCAAACACGTGCTAGCATTTTGATACAATGAACTTTTATTTAAATTGAAGGGGGGGGAACTGCATTGATTCTAAATAGCAATTTGAAGGGGATCTCTTTTTTGTTTGTAATTTAATACTAATGGTAGCTTCGTAGTCCTACCCTGATGTTATCTTCTGAGCTTGGAGAAAGGGATGAATGCTTCTTGTAATTTTAGAATCTAAAGTTCAAATGCTCAAAGCCTAGCCACAATTAGGGAAAAGCCCATCTTGGCCTTCTCCTACACAACTTTCCTCACTTGTTAATTGTGGCCTGAATGTATTTTGAGAGTTGCATTCCTGTGACGTAACGTTTTTATTCATCATAATCACAAACCATGAAAACACAATTATGCTTGACTTTGAAGGAGGGGTACCTGCTCTATTTAGTAAAGTCTCTAAATATTTTGTCTGTTTTTTATATTTTCAAACTATAACATGTGCACCTATACTTAAGATAGTGTTCTTAAACCACTGAGCCCAATGCATATTGTATTGGGTCACTTCTTTAATGGTCTTAGATAGCTTGTGCTTCTCCTTTGCCACAGTTCTGGGCTTTGATACAGAATTCTAGAGGACACAATCCACATTTTTTAAAACAACACTGTCTGTTGTGTGCAGCATTAAGTCACCTAAGCCATGTTTCAAAAACTCAAGCCAGTTCATGGTCCCATATTAAACAATAATCTCCTAAATATGTCAATCATTACATTTAAACATTTATTAAGGTGGCAGACTGAAGTCCATTTATTTCTTTTTTTTTAAGCTTTTTACATAATTTTTATATCTCTGTTTAACCTTTTGGCATGGCAATGTTAATCATACTGCAAGTAGTATGTAAAAACTTCATTTTTACAAGGCACAGTTGAGAGAGCAGTATGACCTAAGCATGAAACCAACTTTAAGCACAGTGATTTAATGCCCTAAACTTTCATCCTGTTATCTACAGCTTTGAAATTGTTTAACAAAAATGGACAATCTTCTTCCAACCCGTATCTGACATTCACGCTAGAGATTCAGAATATACAAACTTATATCTTTGAAGACAACTATACAGCTATTTACATATTATACTACATGGTGCAATTTGGTCTTATAATATATTAGAGTACACAATGCCTTAATTAAAGAAACCCTGTAAAATCTTGGTTAGAAGAACCCTTAACTGTCCAAGCTAATAACGTACTTGATAGTTTTCTGCATTGGAATAAAATTTTGCATACTGTTTGTTAATTTTCTATCTTTTTTCAAGTCATGCCTTTTCAGTTTTCTTACAAGGAGCAGTAATGTTCTTAAAACACCAAGCATGTAACTTTGATTCATCAAAGCCCTCTTCAGCCATGAAATTCTATAGATAGATGTGTGCTCAGCTCCCAACTTCACAGCCTTGGTGGAGAAGGTGTGCAACAGAACTTTAAGTTGAGTTGAATACTATTACAGTTTTGCTGCAGTCTTTCCCTGTCAGCATGAGGTTGTCCAGGGTTATCACCATGGATCATGTCATCTTTTATGAGTGGCCTTATTTTACCACTGGAAAAAAGTTCAAGAATGCTCTAACTGTATATATATGGTGTCTATTATTAAACATGTATGACTGGTTATTTTCAGGCAAACATTTATACCTGGAATTAGAACTCACAAAAATCACTCTATTGTCTAGTACCCTAGCTTTTGGGGCCAAAAAGCCTATTTGCAATCTTGGGAGAATCTTAGATATTCTCCAAAAATGTCTGCCATGGAAGGAGGCTCATGTGGTCACAAACTTGCTGCTATACATTTATGGGGGCCCATCAACAAGCACCCAACAGACAGAAAGCAAATTTGTGAGGCTGCTCCAGCCCCCTAGCTTTTCTTCAGGGTAGATGGTAGATGGCAATACAGTACATCAGCAGACACCATTTTCTTTGTGCAGGTTTCCATTAAAACTAGGTACTTAAAATCAGGTGGTGTGAGGACACTGGCAAGCACTGTATGGGGTGTCTGCAACTGGTGCGGTTGGATGGTGAGGGACCCTTGATGCACAGCAGCCTAGCATGGCCCTGAGAAAAAATGTTTCTGCTGTTCACCTGGCAGGCTAAGAGGGGACTTTCAAATATTTGGCAAGACATGTAATAGAGCAGTTGCCCTACTGGGAATTTTACAGCTTGGACACATCTGATCTAATTCAAGTAAGTGCTGCAAGATGAGCAATTTTATACTTGAATGGATGGTATCTTTCCTGCCTCCTTTTGTTCAAGACATAGCAGATTGGGGAAAAAAGTTGTGATAAGTGAGATGAGGATGCTAAGAATTTTCTCCAAGCCCTTTTTATTATATATAAAACAGCCAGATTTAACTTACTTGCAACACTCAAAAAACTATTCTTTGTCCACCTGGTTGGGCAGCCCCAAGATGCTGCTAAGGAACAAAAGTGGATATTGGCCAGCAATGATGTAGATCTTTGCAGACAGTTGGGAGTGAAGTCAAGTGCTCTAGCTTGAGTGTCCCATGTGTCCACACAGGGCATAGAACAACTATCAACAAGTCATTCCAGATGAAATTCCAGATTTCTCAAATGTCTGAATTTGGGTTGACACACCAAACAACTAGTGGGTAAAACAAATGAATTTTGTTATTTTAAATCAAGTAAATATTATTCCAGTCATAATTTTGGCTATGAGAGTGGATTCT